AAGTAAATAGGGCGCCCAGAAAGACGGAGAGAATAACAGAGACCGAGTCTTTTTGTGCGCTGTATTTCCCTCAACTAGTTGTAAACCAAGTCGCCCGCACGGCCACTGTAGTTCCCATCAATTCCCTTTTTCTCCCTCCTAGGGTGTCCTCTGCCTCCCCCTCTTGACCTCAAACTTGAACAATACGCCCCCTTCTTGGTCCTGGGACACACCAAATCAGTTTCCCCGCTAAGTTTAGCGGGGGAGTATACGTCATGTGACCAACCAATTCAAGTAAATAGGGCGCCCAGAAAGACGGAGAGAATAATAGAGACCGAGTCTTTTTGTGCGCTGTATTTCCCTCAACTAGTTGTAAACCAAGTCGCCCGCACGGCCTCTGTAGTTCCCATCAATTCCCTTTCTCTCCCTCCTAGGGTGCCCTCTGCCTCCCCCTCTTGACCTCAATCTTGAACAATACGCCCCCTTCTTGGTCCTGGGACACACCAAATCAGTTTCCCCGCTAAGTTTAGCGGGGGAGTATACGTCATGTGACCGACCAATTCAAGTAAATAGGGCGCCCAGAAAGACGGAGAGAATAACAGAGACCGAGTCTTTTTGTGCGCTGTATTTCCCTCAACTAGTTGTAAACCAAGTCGCCCGCACGGCCACTGTAGTTCCCATCAATTCCCTTTTTCTCCCTCCTAGGGTGTCCTCTGCCTCCCCCTCTTGACCTCAAACTTGAACAATACGCCCCCTTCTTGGTCCTGGGACACACCAAATCAGTTTCCCCGCTAAGTTTAGCGGGGGAGTAGACGTCATGTGACCAACCAATTGAAGTAAATAGGGCGCCCAGAAAGACGGAGAGAATAACAGAGACCGAGTCTTTTTGTGCGCTGTATTTCCCTCAACTAGTTGTAAACCAAGTCGCCCGCACGGCCACTGTAGTTCCCATCAATTCCCTTTCTCTCCCTCCTAGGGTGCCCTCTGCCTCCCCCTCTTGTCCTCAATCTTGAACAATACGCCCCCTTCTTGGTCCTGGGACACACCAAATCAGTTTCCCCGCTAAGTTTAGCGGGGGAGTATATGTCATGTGACCGACCAATTCAAGTAAATAGGGTGCCCAGAAAGACGGAGAGAATAACAGAGACCGAGTCTTTTTGTGCGCTGTATTTCCCTCAACTAGTTGTAAACCAAGTCGCCCGCACGGCCACTGTAGTTCCCATCAATTCCCTTTCTCTCCCTCCTAGGGTGCCCTCTGCCTCCCCCTCTTGACCTCAATCTTGAACAATACGCCCCCTTCTTGGTCCTGGGACACACCAAATCAGTTTCCCCGCTAAGTTTAGCGGGGGAGTATACGTCATGTGACCGGCCAATTCAAGTAAATAGGGCGCCCAGAAAGACGGAGAGAATAACAGAGACCGAGTCTTTTTGTGCGCTGTATTTCCCTCAACTAGTTGTAAACCAAGTCGCCCGCACGGCCACTGTAGTTCCCATCAATTCCCTTTTTCTCCCTCCTAGGGTGTCCTCTGCCTCCCCCTCTTGACCTCAAACTTGAACAATACGCCCCCTTCTTGGTCCTGGGACACACCAAATCAGTTTCCCCGCTAAGTTTAGCGGGGGAGTATACGTCATGTGACCAACCAATTCAAGTAAATAGGGCGCCCAGAAAGACGGAGAGAATAACAGAGACCGAGTCTTTTTGTGCGCTGTATTTCCCTCAACTAGTTGTAAACCAAGTCGCCCGCACGGCCACTGTAGTTCCCATCAATTCCCTTTCTCTCCCTCCTAGGGTGCCCTCTGCCTCCCCCTCTTGACCTCAATCTTGAACAATACGCCCCCTTCTTGGTCCTGGGACACACCAAATCAGTTTCCCCGCTAAGTTTAGCAAGGAAGTCTACGTCATGTGAAGCTCCTTCCCCAATTGCTTTCCTCAACCTCGTGCCCTCTTCCCTCCCCTCCCTGTCCTCCCTCTTGGTCACATGATGCACCAATTTAGTTTCCACAAAAGAGATAAAAATGTGTGTTCTCCACTCCCAGAACGACTGTTCTTTAATGACTAAAACGATTGATACTATCGCCCCTAAAAACTCTGTTTCGTGCATTATATTTAGGGTTGTTCGTTTTCGGGTTTTATATTTTTTTGAATTCCGGGGGTAAAAATCGGGTACTATTTTTCAAGCTGATAATCGGGGAGAAATCGGGTTTTTTGTGGACACATTCTGGAAACTCGGGTTTTTTTGGGTTAAACTTACAAATGTACTCAATAATACATTGTTTTTTTTTGTTGGTCTGTTTCATGCTGGTAGTCGGGGGGGGGGGGGCGTTTTCCAGCTCCGATTGCCGTCGGTCGCTTCAAAAGATGCAACACCCGCGAAATCCTCCTCTCCCTCAGGTGTCAACGAAAACCTTGAACGTTCGAGGGACATTCGCCTTCGATCAGATATTTCGCTATGGACTAAACCTGTTAAGTTTTCCCGATCTGTTTAGGCGACTGACTTGCTCGGACGTTGTTCGTAAGAAAGGTTGGACGCCCGCGAGACGGCCATGCTACCCGAAAGACCCGGCTGGGCGTCGACACCTGACAGCGGTCGAAGGGGCATTTCTAGTGCACAAGCTGCGTGCAGCAGGGCCCAAGCTACGTGGTGTACCGAGGCGGTTCCACCTGCACAGCGGGGGTACGGAAATGTCCGGCCCCTATTGTCGCTTTTCTTCAGCAGACCTCCGTAGAATGTCACGGTGAAGGCGTGCTCGTTGGCCGGTTGGTTGAGAGCCGTGCAGCGCCCAGCACTGCTCACTGCTTGCGAAATGAACTATAGGTCCGTGCGGCATAAAAATAAATAGGTTGGTTATGTAGTTTTGGAATTCGGGGAGAAATCAGGTTTAACCCGATTCTCCTGGAACATGTTTGGGCTGTAACAATCGGGCAAAATCGGGGTTTACCCGAAAACGAACAACCCTAATTATATTTTATAGGAGGGGTTTCGTGTTTTCGGTATTTATTTTTCTTCAAACTCGGGGGTTATTTATCGGTGTTTATTTTTTTCCCTTTGAATCGGTGTTTTTCGGTGTCTAATTTCAATGCCAGAGAAAAATCTGTGTTTATCGGGCTTGTGTTGTAAAGTGACTGTATAATTACTGGGGAAAGTATTATAATTGAAAAGTTATCAATGATAATATTTTCTTTAGTAATACTGGTAAAGATAAGAAAAGGGGACAGGGCAAGGAATGCGGTTTCGATAGAAAGGAGCAGTGACAAGGGCGGTTCAGTACAACCATGTTCCTGGTCAGAGAGAGAAAAAAAATGGGGGTAGCAATTTTTTATTTATGAAGCTGGCATTTTATTGATGTTTTTTTTTCTTCAAGGTCAGCTGAATTTCGGGGTTTCTCAGTTTTCATTGATTCAGACAAAACCGCCCCGGGTGTAAAGTTTCGGTGTTTATACCGAAAACACGGAACCCTAAGTATAGCATCCTGAAGGTAAAGGTTGCTGCCAATTTTTTTTTTTTCGTATTGCGAGTGTGTTTTTGTGTTTTGTGGGCTCTTAAAAAATAGGATTGCAGTCTGGTGTCCTTGAGCTTGAGAGGTGACTGAATAAATGCAGCCGCCGAACTCGAGATGTCTGTCCTTCTACAGCAGTAGCTGTAGAAGGACAGACTAGCCGCATTGTGCTGCCTAGCACAACGCGGCTTTGGCGTTGTGCTAGGCAGAAAACTCGGGGACATCATTAAATCACGTGACCACATTCAACCAGAGTTGTTCACCACTCGGCCGAGAGATGGCAGCGCGGACGCGCACATTTGGTTGAGGTGACGCCAGACTCGTGAAATGCCCCGAAGGTGTCATTGTCGCTTGTGCGTGCATCTCGCCTGGAACCTCCCCCTCGGCCGTGGAGCACTTGGCGATTCCAAGCTTGCCAGTGTCTCGAAGGTGCACCAGCTGACGAGAGACTGTAAAGTCAGTGTCCCTCCAGTCGGCGACAGGAGGTGGAAGCTCCTCCCACCTCTTTCCACCTCAGCGGAGATAACACTGGAGAGAAGGTCGCCTCCTCTCCAGCGTTTGCTCTGCCAAAGGGGAGAAAGCTGGGAGGAGCTTCCCCTGTGAACACCACCCAAAAGCTATTTATTTTTTGCCAGGCAATTCATTATGATGGCAGAAGACTACCTAATCAATATTTTGCTACAGTGATCGCAAATATTTTTAATAAAGTAAAAAAAAACGGAACTGATCGAAACCGAAACTGTACTGAGGTGGGAGAAGAAATATAGAAGAGGAGAAAGATACCAAATGTCACGTGGCTGTGCAACTTTTTTTTTCAATCCACAGATATGCAGTTTTTTAGAAGCCAGAAAAAATGGGTATCATATTTTCGTCCATTTCTACTATTGAGTGTGTGCCTTCAATGACCCACGGCTTTGAATATTTTTGGTGGTTGTCTCTAAACCATAGAAGACGGCACGTGACTACGGAGAAGAGAGTGAGCGCGACTCAAATTGGCCAGTTCTCAGTCGGCGGTTTTCGGGCAGAAAGAAACGAATTTCAAGCTGCAACTTGTGTTCCAATTAGTTGGGCTGTCATATGTCATGTACAAACAAAACCTTGGTGAGCGTAAATACCTTGTCAGTGTCCCTTCAACCTGTCGCCAACTGTAGTCGAGAAAACGAGTGGTTCCTCAACGTAGATCTGGGTTTGCGTGTAATATCGGACAAAAAATAGTTAAGTGACCCACCACTCATAACGGTCTCGTCTTAGGCAGGGACTCACGACGTCAGCTTGTTCCCTTTCCCTTGGGCGGCCACGAGGCTTTGTTGCGAGTGGTGGAGCAAATAACGACTGGCTTAGAAGTGCACGCTCATATGGGCAGCAACAACTATTGCCGTCACGCACACAGAGGCAAAAAGCTGCGGATATTTTCTTTCTCTATCACTGCAGTTAAAACGTCCCAAATTATTGCGAAATTGAGTCGTGGACTACAAGTTGACAAGCCCTCCACGTAAACTCTCATCCTCAACGACGCTTTCCAGGAGACCAACGTGAGCGAGCCGTCGAGCGACGCAGTTTCGAGTGGAGGTCCGGAGCTGGTTCCGCCGCCTCTTCCCTGCAAGCGGCTGGGCTCTAACCGGGCAAGCGACGCCCTCGTCGGGACTCCGGACGTCTGAGCCAGAGCAACATTCCACGAGCATCGGGGGCAGGCGACCACCTTTTGCTACTTTTCTACCTGGTCGCGTAGCTTTTTTGACCCTGTCGCGTAGCGGCAACTTTTGAAAGACCCGTTTCTTCCGAAACCTGTCTCGTGTTATTTGTTTGCGATGGGGTAAGGGGGAAGTGTAAGTTGGGGCAAGTTTTTATCGCATAATTTCAGGCTGCTAGAGCATTTTGAGCACTGGTAAGTAGAGGGTGACCCACTTCCAAAGGAAAGCATAACCATTGGGAGACGAGACATTCAGAGACCGATATCGAATGGCAATTCTGTCCACAATGGAAAGAGCAGAAAGGCTAAGAAGCCATGCGGAAAGTACAGAGTTTCCAGTCTCCCAAGCCTTACGGTTTTTCAATGCTTGTTTGTGTGCTCTTCGTGTTGCTCTCACTTTTTGCTTGTTTTAGTCTCGTTTTCAGACTTGTTCAATTGACACTGGATTGTTTTTATTTTATTTTTTTCTGTATGACTTGTTTTTCATTGGTTGTACTCACTGTTATTAGTGCATGCAAAAAGAAATTGTTGCCAAATTCTGGAATTTTCGAGAGCACTTTGAAGGGTGTTTAGACCACGAGGCTCGAGACGTACATTGCTTAGAATTGTTCATAAATGAAGCTCAGTCTGACTACGGTATTTAAAGCGGTACTTTTCCCCTTGAATCCTGTTGGGTTTTTCCTGATAAGATTTAATGAAGCTGTGACGACGCTTTGCCGTTGCAGCATCTTCTGCGAATAAGTGACACCTTGCGTTTTCATTCTGTAAATTCTGCACTGTCTCAATACCAGCTGTAAATACATGTCACAGATTTGCTCTCTCGCTGCAGAAGGGTGTATGTGATCATGGAAAGGTGACACCCTTTATAGGATCTGGTGTCATTTTCCATCAATTACGTATGTGCGGGGTTATTGGAGTTTTTTTTAGAGAAACATAATATATACATTGAATTTAGAGTGTCTTGTCTTGGGCAGCACACGTCTCTTTTTTTATCAGCTACAAGGAGACGTTTGTGAGGCTGTTTGAAAGCCCATGGCAGTTCCACAAAAGGCCTTCAGGCATACATAGCCTAGGTCTTCCCTGTGCTCTGCAGCTCCCTTCTTTACCAGCTTTGCTAGCACTGGTGAGCTGCTCATGTCACCTTTCATCATCCTTCTTGCAGACTTTTCTACTCTTGTCTGCAAGGAGCTGTATTGCACGTGCCGACCATGACCAGCTTGAAAGTCTCGGTCAGGCAGCTGTGATTTCTTGCCGACAGAGAGAAACTTGTCTTTAGAACTGGATTCTGGCTTTTTGTTTGCCAACACATTCCACTGCACCGTGCACACATGACACAGTTTTTAGACATCTTGGTTGGGAAACCCTTGCAAATTTTTAGGCATTAGGTTTTGCTGATTGCAGGAAGGGGAGACTTTAGAAAAACCAAGTTAGCTTTAATGACAAAGCTTGTCAATCCATTCTTAAGCTTTATTTGCAACAGTTCGAACCCGTACTGCTTACAAATTGCACCTGGCGCACATTGGCAGTTTTTAATGTTTTTTAGGCGGCACCATCACTCGCAATTCCGAAAAAACCACAAAGCAGTTTTGGTCGGCTTTGTGGAACTTTAAGACAGGTAGTCTGGGTGTCTCCGTTTTCCTAGTGGCCTCCTCGTACGATCCAATTGGTTCTCCGATACTGTCGACTGTGCACCTCCGAGTTTTTCCCGAGGAAAAATTCCCCCGTGACAAGATGGAAAGCTTCCAGACCAGTGCTGTCTATTGACCCTGGCACGTAACGACAGACGCAGCTAGACAAATGATGACGTGGCTCGGGTTGTGGGGCCTAGTGCTCGACACCGGAGGGTTTTGATTATACACGGTGGATTCTTCCTTCTCACATTGATCTCTGTGCCGAGATTTCCAGCATTCCTTTCGGAGTGTAATTTTTTCACCCCCATTTCCAGGATTGAGACCAGTTTTCATGTCGCTGCTACTCGATACGCTTGCTCAGGGAGACTGCGGTCAATGTCTCCGGCAGGAATCGAGATGCAGCTCCTTTTTTGCAGCTGGAGGCCAAGCCTATGAGCTGTCTGCACTAAATCCGTGCCTTTAATGCCTGGTTTAATGCCTGCCACACAATGAGCTATACTCGGCATCAAAATTGTTTTGAGCTACGCTGTCGAGGCTCTCACAGTTTCCGCAGCCCCACACTGCTGCGAGAGCATGTCACTTCACCTTGCGTCTCGTTCACTTGTGCAAAGGGGACGCTAAACGAAGCTACGTGCTCGCACAAGGAGCTTTGACAGCTTCACCGAAAAAACTATGCTAGCCTCGACGGCGCAAGCTTGCAGCGAGCGTAGAGACACGGGTCTGGGGAGTGTCACAGGACGCACGACATTGGTGCAGTCTGTTCATTCTTTGGCTGTAGTGAAGGCCAGAGGGACCTTTGACTCGGACATCCATTGCCACTTTACCCTCCGGAGTTCTTCCAGCGCTCTGGGTACTTTTGATATTGAAGGAAGCGAAATGTGCGGTGCCGACTGATGATTTCCCTTCTGGCAGGACAGTGGGTCTTCTGGAAGCATCACATATCATTGAATGAAAGGCACCTTGCCTTCTTCGTAGGTAGTCTGCTGCAGACTGAGGTCACCCTTTTTTGGCTGCACCGTGTGCATGCAGTTGCCAGACACTTCCTGCGCTGAATCTCACATCGGTTAGCCAGCTCACTGGGACTGACACGCAACTGACCTTCGTACCACCGCTACTGCAACAACCCCTGTTGTGTCTGTCGTACTTTCTGTACTCTGCGGACAAGCTGTGACCAACTGATCTTTTGTGCACATCAATCGGTACTTTGGCCATGTACCTGTTGTAACGGCGTCGCTCCTGTGGTACTTGCACATTCTGTGTGTGTGTGCATGAGATGTTGTGAAAACGAGCCTGTCTAGTCACACGAGTGTTATGTTTGCGGACGGCAACTGCGGCTCGGCCGAAACTGTAACATATCATTGTCGTGCGACCTGCCGTATGGTCGAACACGACGTGCGAGACGAGAGGGTGAACAAAATCTTTATAGCATACCCGATTCGAATGTTACCTCTACAGGAACACTTTCTGATATAAGTGGGGTTGACGTGTTGAGTGCCGACAAACAATTATTTTCATACTGCAGCCTCGCACGAGGAGAAAAAAATGTTTTGTACGGGATGTGATGCTGTGTACTATTTATTGTCGTAAATCTACAATAAAACTCGTTTTGTGATGCACTCTCGTTGACACCCCAAACCAGGAGCGATATCAAATCTTGGTCCTCATAGCATCCGCTGCTGGTGCACATATGTGTACCTTTCATGATCAATCAGACGCAGCAGTTGGGAAGCTTGAGTATTTAAAGGGACACTGACAGCAGGGTATTCATGCTTGCCACCGTCTTCATTTGAATGTGACCTACTATCGGGGAAAAATGAAATGCGAACAGAGGAGCGCGTGGCTCGCGGTACAGGCTGCGCCGCCTAGAATTGAGCCTAGGGGCGAGGGTGCGTGGCCTACTTCGACGTGTTCACGCCCCACCGTCTGTGCTCCCCAAGCTTCAGCAGTGCGCCTCTTAGTGCGCTGAAAGCTATCACCGCTATCTTTCCTGGCTCAGCGCGTGCGGTGCAAAGAAGCTCGCCGCACTCGCCGAGCAGGCAAAGATAGCAGTGACAGCTTTCAGCGCACTGAGAGGCGCACTGCCGAAGCTGGGGGAGCGCCAATCGAGGGCGTGAACACATTGAAGTAGGCCACGCACCCTCGCCCCTAGGCTCACTTCCAGGCGGCGCAGCCTGTACCGCGAGCCACGCGCTCCTCTGTTCGCATTTCATTTTTCCCCGATAGTACATGAGCCAACTACCCAAAACGGATCGAAATATTTTTTTTTTTGGCCATCCGAAAACAGTTGGTTGAGAATTGGACGTTTTTAGACGCGCCCACTTTCGTTTTCATGGTCTCGTGGCACTCTAACTATGGGTACGAAATACAGTGCAATCCACTTATAACGATACCACATATAACAATGTACTGCTTACAATCAGTTTTTAGAATTTCTGGACTAAAAACACCGTTTCTAGTCCAGATACAACAATAATTGGTTATTACGATTGAAATTTTGGGTTTTCTTATATCATTACAAGTGGATTGCACTGTATATTCAAAGTCGGGGGTTATCTAAGACACATATTTAATATAAGAAATATTAACCCCATTTTTTGTGGCCTCCCAAAGCTGCAAATATGTTTATTGAAAAAAAAAAAAAAATGTCACGCAGGTCTTAGGAAGTACATGTAGATGTTAATAGGGATGTCGCGAACTGGTCGAGGTTCGAGTTCGACCAGGTTCCTCAAGGACGACCTCGAGGATGACCTCGAGGATGACGCGTAGGACGACCTCACGGATGATGCCTAGAGATGATAACGAGAGATCAGGACTTGACTATCCAATAATGCCAAGGAAGGTGGACTCACGCTGATTGCCCCCTTTTTTTTTTTCATTTATTCATACTTGCCACAACAAATGAAAAGTTTTCTGTCAACATCCACGGACGCATTTTTCCTAGCGCATAACAGCTTGGCTGTGAAGACTTGGGGGACTGAGGACCCCCCAAGCCTCTAGGAACTTGGTTTTTGAGTTGATATGGTAGATACACAGTATGGAGACTCTCCGACCGATATTGGCAGTGAAAATAGGGATCTGGTAAAGCAAAGTCGGTCTATGTTTGCAGTACTGGTATAGGTATTTAGAGCGGTTGCATGGAGTGGAGATTTTGACGAAGTAAACGTGTTTCTACCAGAGCAACTTTTCAATAGAGGTTCTGCTTGGACAACAAGAGTGCAGGTAAGGGAGGCAGCGTCGGGAACAGGAACGGCATTGGGGCGAGACTCGTTCACGGAACACCCTCGTTTGGCCACGTTGTGACATGCGTCCTGCACGAGATTGGCTAGTTCCTCGATAGAGCTTGCGAGGTGTCCGTCCGGGTTTACTGCGTCCCGATTTGGGTTCTTCAAATTCTACCTCGCGGCCTCGCACTTGCGTGGGGCCCTGCCGCGATCCCGGAAGTGGCACGGCGGAGGAGTTGGACAGGGGCAGATGCCCCTTCTGCCGTGTAGGCTGCTCCACAGCTCATCGGTTTGTGGAAGTTGCAGCGGTTGGCAGTTGGGACGTTGCGGCAACACTCCCGTTCAATCATCCTTCTTGCTCGAATTTCCACGGCCAACCGCCAAGGCCGTGGCATACAACACGTCGGCTCGTGCGACACAATCTATTGCCACTTGGGGACCACTCTTGACGCATGTGCGCGATGGGGTGGCAAACGGACCGGCCGAAGGGACGTTCCAGGCACCATACTTCCATTGCTAGCGATTCCTCCACCCCTGGTGCGCCTCGAGCCAAAAGCGGACAAGACTCCTTTGAGCATTTTCGCGGGCAACCATGTTGAAACTTTACGCCGTCGTACGAGGCTACCGCTAAGGCAACACTATCGGCGTCGTTCTTCAAAATAGGAATGGCCAGTGGGAGCCTTGAACTTCCAGTGGGCGTGGGAACGGTGTCACCATGTGCCTCATTCGCGCAGCATATTTGTTTACCTATGTCGGTACAAATACCTCTGTATTCGAGAGAAAAAAATGGAATGTACGCTTGCTGCAGTTTTTATTTCTGGGAGGGACAATGTCTTTGGTTGGTCGTCTTTCTGATGTTCTTAGCCAACTAATCTTACTATTGGGGGACGCTGAAGTCTAGCCGAGTCCCAATAGCTCGTTCCTGTGACTGACAAGCTCGAGAATGTGTCGATGAAATGCGCATAATGTTCCAAGGTGTCAAATCCCACACTGCAAAAATGTCAATCGAATTAAATTACAGTTGAAACTCAATTTTATGAAACCCGATTTCACGAACAAATTCCGATTCCCCCCCAGATTCCCATAGGGCTCCATGCTTTTATGAACTCAAAATAATGAAAATAAATTGGACCATAAACCCAATCTAACTAAACACACCGGGAACAAAAATTATTGCAAAAAGGCGTAATTTTAGGTGTATTTCGTTTAGGATGCTTCAAACATTTGTATGGAAAAGCAAACCCGGCACTCCGGGCTTTTAGTCAACTATACCAGATGGCGCTAACTGCCTTGTGCTTTGACGGGATGAGCGATGATGACCGTGGGAAAACTATTCTGTACATACAAAATAGTTGAAATGATGATGAATGTGTTCCAGCATCTACCTCCTCTGTAAACCTCGCATCCAGCCAGATCAAAATCCCTACTCACACCTTCAACAGCGAGGTCCTGATCCTGCAAAATTACCTGCTTCGCATCAGTGAACCAATCCACAGGGGAGAGAGGGCATTTTGTCGATGCTGGACGAGTGTAAATTGGATTTTGGGGACTCTTGGGCGGGTTCCCAAAAATGGTGCAGACAAGAAAGGAAAAATTGCATGCTGGTGCAAACTCCTGAGCAGACTTGGGAAATTGGAAACAGCGCGCAAAAAGACAACGAGAGAAGAGCACAGGACTCTCGTTGGTCTTTGTCTTTTTGCGCGCTATTTCCAATTTCCTAAGTCATGAACCAACTCGCTTGCATCGCCACCTTAATCCTGAGCAGAGTCCGTTTCAAATGAATCCCATTTGCTCGCTCTCCTGGTTCAGAGGGCCAATGCACCTTTAACCGAATTCATTGTGCTGTTTTGGCACACTTATTCTCTGCATCGGAAGACCCTCGTAGACCCCATCAGGGGCTTGCTGTTGGCACGCTTTGTGCAGAGCGCTGCAAGTAGAAAATGAACAACCCGAAACCAGTCTGGCCAGTCCACTGAACTTCGCAATGCTTTCCTTAAAGAGACAACGAAATTTCAGTGCTTATTTTTTGGTCTATACGTGTTCAAAGGACCAGTATCACATCGCACACACCAATATCTTGTCAAAAAAGACACGAAGAGGAATTTTAAACTAAATTAAACGATTAACGAGGAGCACCTGGCAGATGTCGCTAAAGCCTCGTTCGTAATGCCCGTCTAGGGACCTTGACAGGTAGTCACGATAACTGTCTCGCCTAGAAGTATACATGCTTTAGACCTCATCCCGACAGCTCTACGGCCAGCACAAGGGAACAGGGGAGGAAGGAACTCTCAATGGGACTCTCGGACGTCGCTATTCTACAAGATGATAAAAGATTAGCCCGTAACTCAAAATGCACACAAAAGCAGCTTTGCAGTTAGTTGCGGTGGCCCGATCGTTGACGTGCTTCGACCGCTTCGGTGGCTGGAATGGCAAGGGCATCCTGACTGCGTCAGCCTTGCCGCAGCTTTGCTCATCCCAAGAGGTCACGATTGCGCCGGACATGGCGTGCTCTCCACCGACTGCTCTCAGAGTGCTGGCCAGGGAGGGCCGTTTACAACGAAAAATACTGCGCTCAAGATACAAACGTGCGATTGTCATTCACGAATGTTGTGGATCATATCCAGCCTATTTCTGAACACGACGGGTATATGCCAAATTTTGTTCAAGTATGCCTTTCATATGGCCACCCGCAAGAGGCAGATCCTATTATCAGCCATAATTGAGGCTGTCGACCGTGACAGACGTCGGGTTTTCTTCATTTGAGAGTTGGTTATTTGAAAACAGAATACGGTCTAGCAAGCATCAAACCGTCGGAGGCCACAGTTGAATCTAGTATTTGCAAGATTGTCTTCCGAGATTGGTGATGCACTCACCAGCATCAGTCTCCAGTTTTTATTCTTGTTTTGTTCTTCAACCTTATTGTGACCTTGTATGCCAGTTGACATCTTTAAATTCTTGATGAGTACTATACCATGTTAAGTCTTTTTATGGCAGTGGTCCACAATTCACCGTACTTTCGTGTCCACCACAGATGAAAGTATTGCTGCTAGTGCCAGCTGCACAAGTTTAAAGATTTGGGCAGACCGATTCATCCGAGGGTACTTATTTCCTGCAATTCTCATTACATTATTTCCAATGGGCTTGGCTGGCTTTGGTAGGACCACAACTCTACCCGCAGATTAGAATCACAGTTATTGCTTACAAGTTCTGTGGATATTTGGAGGATGTTAGTGCATTTTTCGGGTGGGTGCACAAATAGATTCTGTAGGGCGCCCGACAGTGCAAAGTGCTTCCATGTTGCTCGTTCTGCCACAGGCCTGGGGAGCGTGATAAAAGTGGCATCATATTAGGTAGCCACGTGGCATGCCTACTAACAATGCAGGCTCCAATGTGGAGGCCTTTGTCTAGTTTGGGGAAAGTTGTATGTAAATCGGATAGGGCAGCCCTATGGCGTGAGGTGGGCCCTGTATCCATCTCGCAGTGCTACGAGGTTCGCTCGGAAATCGGCACTTGCACGCAATGAGCTCAAGCTTTCACCAAAGGTGTATTTCAGATATTCGAGGGATGGCGCAGGAGTTAACCAGGGGTTGTGCTTGTGGCACCATCTCTCGATAGCTGAAGCAAGCCGAGGACATGAAAAGCAGGCGTCATCGCATGCACGCTGCACCTAACGGAAGACTGCGCACAAGTACAAAGCGTTCAAGGGTGTCGGTTTCATTTTTCAGAGAGAGGGAGCTACGCCTCGGAATTTCACGAGGAAAATACGTCTTTGGTGAAAGTTGAAGCCCGCTGCGTGCGGGAGCCGATTTTTCCGCAAACTTTCGAGCGGGCACCCGGATTCATGACACCTCCGGACGGAACACGATCAGCGGAACAGTCTGCCATCGGTAGTCTGAGCGGCGCACATCGAACGTTTATTCGCTCCCAGCCGAGGTACCGCTCAGTAGAGTTTGAGGTGACTGGTGACGCTGTCGACCAGTGGCTCGGGCCCGGGCCCGATGCCTAGCACTGTCCTGGTACCCGGCGCTACCTGCGTCCTGCCTGCGTCTCTGATGAGCGCCGTGACCAGGCCCGCCCTCCGGGCCTTGTCCGCGAGCTCGAGCATTTCGTCCTCGCTGGGCACGCGTAGCACCACCTTGCGCTGGCCCTGGTCCTCCCACCTGCGCAGCGCGTTGGGCTGGCGCCGCAATGCCTGCTTGAAGGCCGTGACGGCCGCGTGGGAGCACTGGGCCGCCACCTTGCCCTTCTCCATCTTGACGTCGCTGCGCACGATGAGCACGAGCTTCAACTCGCCCCGGGCCCAGTCGCCGCCCTCCTGCTCGATCGGGCAGCTTGCCCCGCCGCAGAACCAGCGGGCGAGCACGCCCCGGAGCCCGTACCTGGCGCCCAGCAGCAAGCCGATGCTCAGGCCCGAGCCCAGGCCGACGAGCAACGGGAGACCGCCCGACGCCAGCACGGCGCTCAAGGACTGCATCTCGCGGTCGCTCGGTCTGCGTCTGTTGGGCTCGTGCCGCGGTTGGGGCCCGTGACGAACGACGTTTTGCAGAGCGCAGAAATCGGCGAGAAGCGACGATCTTTCCCGCGACGGACGCGCCCGCATTCACGAACTGCACATGGAGGCGGCCATTCTTGCGCTCAGCGTTTGCGACCGTATTAGATGGGTTGTGTCTATTTGCCAGAACAAAAATTATCTCCCTTACACAGAAGAATAAAAAAAAGCTTATATATTAATATTTTGTTTATAAGTGGTTATATGAAAACGTGATTTTTAAATTGTGTGGAAAAACTTACAGGCGCTTTGCCGACTTTACATTTCGATCACTTAGGGTTTCGGTTCTGATTGTGGTTTTGCTAGTGGTAGCAGTGGTAGTTACTGGGAGTTCGTACGGTTCATCTGGGTGTAATCTGGCGTGATACCCGATACCAGTAACCTATGCCGATACGGCAAGCAAAGCGTCGGCAACTGTAGTGTGAATGGAGCAAACTTTGCACGTGGCCTACAATTTTAGTCGTTCTCGCGGCAACTAACAGCGACTAACTTCATAGGTCACGTACCTACTTGTGAGGTACGCGTCGTAAATTCTAGCAACTGAAAAGAAAGCTGAGCTCTTTCAGTTGCGAACTATTCATGCATGTGAAACCCGAAATGGTGCCAAACGGATCGCTGGGCTAGACCATTGCGTTAGAAGAATGTGCGAATTCAACTTTGGCCCCGCAATCTCGACCTTATTTTCGTCCGCTCATCGGCAAAACGCGAATTCCCGACTTGGCAAAAATACAATGAACCACCCGAGTGACGACGATGACGACGACACGAAAACATTCCAAAGACGCGAAGATCGAAATGGGTCCGATCTTTTCCAAAGGGCCAAATTGCTTCGCCGTTCTTTTTTTTTTTTCGGCGGCGAATTCTTTTCGCGCAGGACCGCTCCGCCACAGCGCTTCGGGGATCCGCCAAATGCAGGACGTCGCAATGCACGCGGGCGGCGCATTCTTTGTCGGGGAAGTGGGGTGCGGCCCAATGGGGAGCCTCGCTTCGCGTCACGTGCCTAGCGGCATACCATGCGTGCTTTCGGCCAACGGAATGCTGTTTTTGTCTGTGTTGTTCAGCAGCGCTCCTCCGACGAAGCACGGTGCCGCTTGTGCCGCGGATCGAAGCAGCGGCGGCGTAGCTCCTTCGTGAAATCTCGGTGAAACCAGGGGCCCAGACTCGCTCACGATGCTGCGCACCGTCCCCGACAAGTAAGCTCGACGCTCTACCATAGAATCGCCGAAACAGAAACTACGTATCGATCTTATCCCGCTCCCTAGACTGTGTTCGGCAATCGTTTGCCGAAGCCTCAATTGTTTCGACGCAACAATTTTGTATCCGCCGTCCATCTATTATCGGGACATTGCGCTGAGGAATGCGCCGCCGCTTTGGCTGCCCGACCCCGCTGGTCCGCGCGGCGTCGTCGAGGAGGAACGCACGCGGAAGAAGGGAAAACCGCGCTCGTCGGAATTCCACAGCGGGCACCGAGCGGTTTCGTCGTCGCAGTTCCCCTCGCCTTCTCCCCCTCTCACCACAATTGTTGGGCCAGAAATGCGCGACTCGGTTTCCAAATCCTCAGTCCCCAGAAGAAATGACAACAAATAACAAAATTTTCTTATATTTAATCATTTCGAAATTCCTTTTTGCTCATCTTTTGTAATGTTTCTTAAACAATTTAAGAGCCTGCACTTTATTAACACGTTCAACCTGGATTAAAACTATCTTCGTCATTTAACTGATTTAATTCAGATTTCCCGAAAAGCTATCAGCTAGTGCATGGAATCGAGCACGTCGACACACATGCCTTTTCTAAAGTGGGCAAAACCTCTCCAAGAGTCACACATTTGGGGAACATGTTTGAACTGTTCGACCTATGGGTAGGAAATTCATGCTCGTGAAACCACTTTAGCGCATCACAGACGGAACCGGGGTCAAACGGTTTGTGTGTGTGCCTCTGATATTGCACCAAAGTTGTGCCACTATCTGCAGCACGGGGCATGCATGGGCTCGATCATGTCCAGTGCCCCAACTATAAGTGCACCTGTTAATTTGCAGTTTTTAATACATTCAAACATGATGTCGCCTCTTAATTTATAAGTAACTTCACAGCTCATATGGATCCATGTCTATAAAATAATGCTGCTTCTTTATATGCTTGTCCTGCATCTAGCAAACTCCAAGTGGTAGAAATGTCTGGAGCAACCCTTAGTCAAGGAGAACTGAAATAATGCGTACTGGGTTACAAAGTAATATAGCTGCACTTTTTTTGTAATGTTTACAATTTGAGTGTTGATCCCTCGAGCTTTTTGCTCATTTCAAGATCCCTTGAGGCAGGTCTGGGACCAAGCACAAAAATCTGCTACAGGTTCAACATCCAGATTTCCCATCTCTGGTTGGCAGGGACGCTCTGCCCAATATGGCAAAGGACACACATATAGCTCGCTGGAATATATCCACCTGTGCTTCTGCCACCATTGAGAAACAAATTTCTATCCACAATGAGAGTATAGAATGCACAGTTATTCATTGTGACACCCAAAGAAGAGTATCCACACTAAAGCATATTTTTCTAGAGCAAGTTCCAGGATGCCCCACCTTTATGTTAACATGTGTCATATGTTTGCAGGCCTTTTTTTTTTTATGTGAAATTTCTAATTTAGTTAGTGGCCTGAGCTATTTTTAATCATAATTTCTTGGGGGGGGCAGTCAGTGCATGCCCTGAAAAGTCTGAAATGGTGCCAGTCCCCATAGAGTTGGGTGATTACATTGCAAAGCACATAAACTGAAGTAACAATATAATAATAAATGTAAGTAATGCCTAAAAAAAATGAAGTCCCCTGAGGTAGGTGTATTCTGGGACTCCACATGCAGGTTGCATCACATTCATTTTATCTCAACATAAAAAGAAAATGCTCTTTTTTTTTATTCTCGCATCATCAGGACTGCTCCGCACGCACGCATACTTCACGTAGATGTCGCTTATCAAAGGACGCGGGAATGTCGCTCCATATACCTCCTGCTCCCGAATGAGAAACAGTCCCGTAGTTCACCCACAAGTGAGCTGGCTAGAGTTTTCAATTCTTCCATACCGGAAAACTCTGCTAAATATTTGTCACAGTACTTTTGACATATCAGCGGGAAAATATTTGTCACCATTTTATTTTGCTCGTTGCGTCATGTACGTGAGTGTAGTTAATTGGCATTAGTGTAGACATGACAGATGCAGTCCAGCCTTTCTCAGGATGTGCGATCATAAAGGCTTAAGGAATTGCTTGGAGGAGACTGCATTCATTTGCCTTTGTGCCCAGTTGTGTGGTCCTTTGCCTATTTTGTACTTACCATCTCTTGAGGGACAGTAACTATCATATTTATTTATTTAGATACCTTAAGGACCCCCTTGGGGGTATTACATAAGGGGTGGGCACACAGCGCAAAAGGGTAGAAAACATGCCAAGAACAACTCGCATACTAAGAGCAAATACACACAAACGTAAAAGGCAAACTATACACATATAGATGGTTTGTACAAACCTAAAGTGGGGACTCTAGCAAGCGTTTTTTTTAAATTCTATCGGGTCATGAGTGAGGACGACGTTCTCGGGAAGATCGTTCCAATCAATGGCAGTGCGTGAAAAAAATGGATTCTGGAAGGTGACGGTTCTTGCTTTGGGGCGTCTTACGCCGAGGTTATGTCCCGTACGACGAAGCCGGTGTTCTGAAGATGCGATGATTGAAGGCACTGGCTGTAGTAAAATTTGTGGAAAAGAGATAGCCTAGCAAGTTTCCGACGGACAGGAAGGTTTGCACGTATTTTAAGATTAGTTACGCTAGAAAAGGAAGAGTAATCTGAGTAGATAAAACATACTGCACGATTCTGGAGTGATTCGAGGTTATTGATGAGATAGGCCTGGTGCGGGTCCCAGATGGCATATGCGTACTCCAGTTTAGGACGGACAAGGGATGAGTAAGCAAGTAGCTTTAGATGAGGAGGGGCTAGCTTAAGGTTACGTTTTAAGAAGCCTAGAGAGCGATTAGCAGTGGAGATAACGTGACTGATGTGAGTGGCCCAGGAAAGATCAGATGAGAGGTGGACTCCGAGATACTTATAGGAAAGGCTTTTCTGCAGAGGTACGTTATTAAGTGAGTAGGAAAACACGGAGGGGTTTACACGACGTGTAAATGACACGAGCTGGCATTTCTGAACGTTAAGAGACATCTGCCATTCTTCGCACCATGCTCGAATGCGTATGAGGTCGTCTTGAATGAGTCGGTGGTCCGAAGAATTAGTTACTTGGTGGTAGATGACGCAGTCGTCAGCGAAGAGGTGAATATGCCACGTGATTGATACGGGTAGGTCGTTAATGTATATTAGAAACAGAAGTGGTCCAAGGACCGATCCCTGAGGAATGCCTGAGGTGACTTTGGCAATGGAGGATGATGACTGGTTAACGGTAACAAATTGATGTCTATGCGTAAGAAAGCTAATAATCCAGTTCAAAATCGCGGGATCTAAGTTAAGTTGAGTAAGCTTGTATATGAGACGTCTGTGAGGGACCTTATCGAAGGCTTTAGCAAAGTCTAAAAAGATGGCGTCAGTTTGAATGTTAGAGCCGAGGTTAACATGCAGGTCATGGACGAAAGACGCGAGTTGAGTTTCACAGGAGAAGTTTTTTCGGAAGCCGTGTTGGGAGGAAGGGATATAGTTGTTCTCAAACAAGTAATGAATGATTTGGGAGTAGATGATATGTTCCATTAGTTTACACGACATGCTTGTTAGGGAGATGGGACGGTAGTTAGAAGGGGAGTACTTGTTTCCGTTTTTGTGAATTGGGACTATCTTCCCCACCTTCCAGTCGTATGGCAGGGAACCAGTAGAAAGTGACTGTGAAAAAAGCTTTGCCAATATTACGCTAGGTATATCATTAGTATTCTTTAACACTTTTACATTTATTTCTTCAATACCCGCTGATGAAGAAATCTTAAGGGTGTCGATGATTTTCACAATGCCAGCCGGTTCAAACGTGATCCCAACCATGGATGTAGGAAAGGCAGGAGGAGCCATAGAAAACATATCATTGCACTCTTGTGTAAACACTGAACAAAAAACATCATTGAATTTTTCTGCACATTTGTCATCAGGAACCGAAGAGTCATCGTCGTTTTTAAGATTGACTACAATATCAGGTTTAGGATTAACAACTTTCCAAAACTTTTTTGGGTTGCTCTGCAGCATGCATGGCAAATCAGCATTATAAAATGCTCGTTTTTGTGTTCTGATTGCGCTTCTGAATTGTCTGTCGGCACTATAGAACTTATCCCAGTCCGAGTTGCGCTCCGTAGTTTTGGCTTTACGAAAGAGTGTGCAATAGACATTATGATATTATAATATTATAATAAAGCATTTTTTCAACAAACATAAAGTGCAAAATGCCAAAGGGAGAACGTTAAACAATACAAAAAATTACTGAACCACTTATCTATACCAAATATGGAGATGCCACAAGAAATTATGTACCCAAAAGTTTTAATGAATAACCTGAAGAGTTACTCAAAATAAAATCTCCGAAAATAAAAAAAAATAAAAAAACTGTAAAAAATGTGGATACTTCAACGGAGTAAAAAAACACCCCCAGAGAATTGGTTTACTTCGATATAGTCGTTGTAGTTAACGATGTGATGCAAGTAATGTCAAAATCCAATGTATCTTATACACCAACGTTATTAGATTAGCTCAGTTACGGAACTGCTCATAGACGCTGCATGCACGAACAGTACCCCCCCTCACTCACCACGACTCGCCAAGCGTCGCGCGACGCGCCGCCGGACGGCTGCTTTGGTAACTACAGCGTATTCTATGGGAATCGGGCACGGTGAAATCGGGTCGGGATCGCTGGGATCGCTATTTACGTTTCGAAACACGGCGTCTAGATGGCGCTTCATCTCTGCTCTTTTGGAGCGCACAGTTATGAAACGAAAATCTAGATGGCGCTTCGAACGACACTTGGCGGATTGAGGTGAGTGAGGGGGGGTACCCCCTTTCGCCTGAGTTCCACAACTGAGGTATTCTAGTAACGTTGTTATACACCAACTCATGTTTACAAACAAACCGGAGCGCCCCTAGCGGACGCCACCGGCGCCGCGCATGCGCGATGGGGGTGTGGGCAAGAAGCCCGCCGTGGCCCATAAAACAAACCGTTGAAATGCGATGTTGTCGGCGTCGGTGCGAGTCCCCCTGCCCTTTTTCGCGTTCGAATTGTTGATTCTACGTCTTCCTGGCAATGTCTGACTACTTGAGCGGCGTCAGCGAAATTACCGAGGCTCATTACACTGCAAAACTTTGTGTTGAAAGTGAAAACAATCAGGTTTGCCTCCCCAACATTACAGCTATCTCGACACCATGGAAGCTATTGCTTTGCACCAAAAAAAGATTATTATGGCACAGAGATCTTGCGCAATAAGGTGTGTGCACAGGTAGCAGGGCTGTGAGAGCTACCGTAAAATATGGAGCATGCAGCCATGTCGTAATAGGTTTCCTCCGGATACTTGCAAAACAAAAAAATGTGCGAAGGACGAATTGATCACCATTTTTGTACATGGGCAGGCTGTTCCTCCTCGACTCCTCCGATTTGGCAGAGCCGATTTAAAAGCCCGGTGACAGGTTGTTTTATAGGCATTTCTCGTGCACCAATATTTTGTTACACTGTGTCGATTATCTTTTTCACACTCTGGTCATTTGTCTGCAACGACACAATTGCCTTTCCGAGCTTTTCTCGTTTGTTTTCACCCTCGATGACCACGAAAGAAGCTTCGCATTGCCGCCACGTGCGACAGTGGTGCTTGGCGGCATCAAAAAATTATTGAATTTGGATTCTGACTTAAGAAGCACCCATCCCTGGTTCTTTCTAAAAATTTTGGTTGGCACGGCATACGTGACCCAAGCTGAAAGCGCAGCACAACGGTGCCGTCTTGACACGACCTCTGCCCCCAGGTCTCCGCCGGCGTGCCCCCCACGCAAGCGTGCACTGCCTCCGGGGCTGGCCACGCCCCCGTGCGCCCCGAAGCAGCTGCGGCGCTCGGACGAGCAGCCCCTGGACATGAGCCAGCGGGCGGCGGTGCCTCAGGCGCGCCCCTCGGTCATCACCTGCGCCGCCCGCTGCCGGACGGGCGCCTCCGCCCGGGACACGGACCCCATCGTAGAGGCCCACTTCCGGCGCTCCCTGGGCAGCCAGTACGCCGCCCTCTTCGCCACCCCTTCCGCCGCCTCCGAGGCCTCCGTCACGGGTGAGGAGTCCCGCTCCAGTGTCTGGATACTCGGTCGCGTGTCCTTTGGTTTTCTCCTGATGCCGTCGTAAAACTGTCATGCCGTTGCCTGCCACGATCCTGGCAATGGCACCAGGTGTACGCGGCAGACGCCTGTTCTGCAGATGCAGGTTGTTTCGCAGCCAGACGGTAACTACTGCAGACTCGAGATGCCACGGGGATTCTGGCGTCCCTTTTTTGGCAGCACTTCTAGGACCAACTGTCAGGATTGCCACATCAGCACAACATGCTGGCTCCTGTAATTTGTGGCCACTTTTGCACCACTCCCCATGGAACGCTAAACACACCAGCATGCGTGCCAAGCACTGTAGTTGTGTGCTTCCCGTGGGGTCTGCGATCGGCCATAGGGACTCTGTCCAAACAAAATGAAAGCGGTGGAGGCTAGTAGCAGGACGTTGGAAAGGGGTGGAAGCATCAAGTGTTTGCTTAGTTTTTTTGTCATGTAGCGATACCACCGCAAGTCACAGAGATGCATGTGTACTTTGTATGTTGTGTGCAAAACTGGTTGTTACTTCATTTTTGGAAGCACAAATGTCCCGGTGACTTCTGGTCGACGTGAGCAGACGTAAGCTCCTGTAGCGTCAAGGCTGGTTCACACGGCACCATTCTTTTACGTTCCAGAGCTTTTGCTTACTTTGAGAGACGACTGCAGGTTAGCAGCACATCCGTGCCTTGTTTAAAGCGTTGCGACCAGTTACAAGAGTAGCTTTGCGCTCAGAATACTAACCACGGATGGGCCGGTGACTTAAGGTCGTATCTCGACGTAAAGGCTGGTTCACGCAGGACTCGGGAGTGTTTGCTTACATTTTCTAATGTTACGTTGTAAGTCACTGGAATATCTTGCCTCGAATCTCGCAAGCAAAGCTTACTCCTTGAACTGGTCCACGCTTCATACAAAGCAGAGACATCTAGTGACTCTCGACATCAGCTTTCGTGACAAACGCAACGTAAGCAAATGGTACTGTGTGAACTGGACTTAATGCGACATAAGCAAAGGGCCTTTGAGATCTGTTCACACTGTACCGTTTCCTTCTGTTTTATTATTTTACGGGAGTTTATGTCTGCTTGACGTCAGGAGTCACTGGGACATCCATTCTTCACATAAGTGGGGGAACCAATGGAAGGAGCAACTTTGCATGCAACATTCAAAGCATGGATTCCTAGTGAATTACACTGCAATGTAAAAAAATGTAAGGAAATGCTCCTGCGTGAATGGACATTTAAGGCCCGTTCACGGAGTATCGTTTGCTCACATCGCGTTATGTTACGGGAACTTGCGTCTGCTTACTTTGAGAGATACTGTAGCGTCTGTGCTTTGTACGAGACTTGGTAACCAGTTCAAAGAGCAGCTTTTCATGTGACATACGAAGTATAGATGTACCAATGACTCATAACGTAACTTATGAAAATGTAAGCAGATGCTTTTGTGTGGATGGGCCCTTAGAGTGACAGTTGACATTTTGCTACAAGGATAAGCTTCGACAAAAAGCCTTAGTGAAACATCAGGGGCCACTTTGAGGCTTTTGGGAGATTTTTAACACAGAATGTGTTAAACAATCAGTTCACGCTTTCCTCTTTTCCCTTGCTTCGTCCTCTCTCTCCTACACTCTCCACCGTTGCCCGTTTCCTCCTCTGCCCCCCTCTCTACCTCCCCTGCTCTGCTAAGCCCACGGTGGCCAAGTCATAGACTCCACCAAGGAAAGAAAGGAGGTTAGATTAAAAAAGAGCAACCCCAACATGATTTGTAAGGAGCCTTTAGTCCGTGAGTTACAACGCCGTTGACATCAGTGCAGGTTTTTGAGTCAGTGTGCCGTGCACTGGTATTTCTGTGTCCATTCCCCCTGGAGTCTTTTTGGGAGGTACGTTTCTTAATACGACTGGAAGTAGATTTAAATGCTTCATTTCGTGGGGTTTTTTTATCGTTGAGATGTTTACGTTCTTGGAAGACATCCTCTGCACAACTGCAGGCCTATGCAGACGCTGGTTCGAAAGTTAAATGAAAGCGTGATTGTGTGTTCGAACGAAATAAGCCTTTCGAGAAAGGGAGATAGCACTCTTGCTTCCTTGTGACATTTTCAAACAAATGCATTCCGATCCAGGCTTCCAACAGGGGGCAGGAGGTATTTCGAAGAATATACAACATCAATTCACGTTGATTAAAAAATGCGCTGATCAAAGAAGGTACCCAGCGAAGGGAAATCGCAATGATTGGCTCTCCGCACACTGCCTGGAAAAATATACTCGCAAACTTCGAACGAATGCTCCACTTGCTCTTGGAACTGACTGTGCAGCGTGACCCACATGTTGGTTGAACCAACCAGCTATCTGCCTTCCACTTTGTGCAAGAGCTAATCAAAACTATGTCTGCAAAGAGTGTCGAATTAATGTGCATCTTCCAAAGTGGTAAAATGGTTCGAAATGATTCTTGTTTATTTGTTCAAAGCAGGCAGTCCAAATTAGGGTGACTACATGTTTCCGCTCCGCTTTAGGGTGGTGCCAACTTCTTGTTACCCTTTCCCAGATCCTCTCCCTCTGCCATTTTTTCCCATTTCTTATTTTGCTAAACGTAAACTACGTTGAGTTTCTGTAGTCTCAAAATACCGGCAACACTGTGAGGCCACTTCCACTTCCGTTCATAAGAGGAGTCGGAGGCTCAGCGGGATGGCGGTCATCGTGGCTGTTGCTCTCTTCATTCGGGTGTTTCATATTTTGAAGTTGGGAGCAGGAAGTGCGCATTGCTTTTAACGAAATGCGAGTTCCTGCGGCAAAATGGAACTTAACAGACCGGCATTGACTGCCGAAACCTCGCCGTCGGAACAAGAGCTCCCTAGCCCTGACGAGGATTAGCGGCGTAGTGCGAGCGCACGACGGGCGAGTGGGACAAAATGGTCGACGAAAACAGCGGAGGTTGCCGTGATAACGAGGTAGGCAACGCTGGTTTTTCGGCAACAGGTATCACAAACGTTGTCGCCACCATAAACAGCAGAGCGGCAGAAACATGTGGGCACCCTAGTCCAAATAGTTTATGCCACTAGCTGTGTTAAGCCCTTCCCAATCACAAAGAAGGTTCGCGAGAAGACTTCTGTGATGGGATGCAACGAAAGCAGTTTTATCCTTTGCTGCTTGTGAATGTATACATCAATGCTGACTGATATTGGGTGTTTGAGTTCACACATTTTTTATGAGAACCTCGCATGCCTTAGAGCTTGAATATTTTACTGTTTCATGCACTCCTGGTTGTTTTTGCAGTGATGGTAGTGCTGTGGCCATTTGCACCAAATTGCGCCACAAAAATGCAAGTCTGCTATATGTTATTGCAAAAATGCCAGTCTTGTACAAAGTTGTCACACTTGAATGAGCTAAACAAAGCAAAAAAAACTTAATAATAATTTCCAACACTAATGTTGAAAGAAGTAGAAGACGAGGGAAATGGTAAAAACATGTATTTCACGGTGTGTCTACTCACCGTCGCTAAAATTCGCTCTTCCACCACTCTGGCCACATCATTCGAGACAATGTCGGCGACGTCACGGAGTTTGAAGTCACGAGAAAACTTTGTTAGATGGTTATACAACAACTGCTGCGATACAACAGAACCTTATACTCTTGATGAGAGCACTTGATATTGATTCTCCTCTCAGCCACATGCCTCCACTCCGTGACACCAACCTTCACCACTTGGCAGAGCGTGCGTGCGTCGAGCTTCACCGCATTGCAGCTACGTAGTAGGAGAAGTGGCTTACGGAGGGGAACAGCCATGGGTTAGTGCCATCTGCTCGGACATTTTGCTCACTACTATTACAGGTCGACCTTTTTTGATCTCGATTCTAGGTCGGCCTTTAATTTTCAAGAGCAGTTCCAAGAAAGTAAAATAAAACAAAAGCACGGACCTATATTTGAGTGAGTAGTCTAGGTATTTCCCACGCCGCAGTCGATCGAAAAGGCCCCAAACTCCGACTCAACTCTGACTGTAGTGCCGCTAGCTCTTGCTTAGTGATGGGGTAGCTGAATTTTCGAGTGATGCGCAATACATGTTCAGATCTGGTCCTTTTGCTCCAAAGCTACATTTTGCCCGCTACAAAACCTGCTACAGAAAGTCCGATGTTGCTTCCATCACTGTTTCTTATTCAGTTAGAAAACATTTAAATTGGCTTTGGTGTTCCTTCGGTGTTGTTCAGGCGCTGCGGGAGTTTCACGAAGAAAGAATTTAGAGCCAGAGGCATCTTGTAATGCTGGCCCAGGAACTTGCCACCTCTCTGCTTTCACGTGCAGCTGCATGATGAATGCGACGCAAGGCGTTGCGTGTCGCATTCGTGGCTACCAAATTGGCTCGCGTGCGGTCACTAGCTCCTCTACCACATCCTTTCCCGTGATGCCTGCACATTTACGTCTGCTACCCCACGCGGGTGTTCTCTCTTTGCAGTGGACGACCACTTTGCCAAGGCGCTGGGGGACACCTGGCGGCGCCTGCAGGACCAGGAGCCGCAGGGGGTCACTTCCTGAAGAACTCCCCGGGGGTCCTCCGCTCACCCCCCCTCCCCAAAGCGCAGTCTCTGCAGACGACCGCACGGACGGCCCCTTGAGGTGCGCTTCCCCTCGCAGAAAGTCTTTAGTGTCCCCCTCGAGAATAAACGAGGTTTGTTCTTTGTGGGTCTGTGCCAGCCAGACTCCCTGGGGATCCAAAGAAATCTCAGGAGTGCAATTCCCGTGCTTCGACACTGTAACTTAGAGTGCAAGTGCGTGGCGCATTTTCTTTCTAATATTAAAGAGACGCTCGCACCCCCCTATTTTTTATTGTGCCATCCAGTATGGTCTCAGAACACTACCCAATCAGCATTGTGATACAGCGTCACATATAGTTTTGAATAAAGTAAGAAACAAAAAATGCTCGAAACCAGAACTAGACTAGGGAGGAAGAAGAAATATAGAGCAGGAGAGAGTTGGCACAAGTCACTTGGCTGTGCAACTTTTTGTTTCTTCAATCAACATATTTGGGGCTTTTTAGAAGCCACAAAAAATGGGTATCATATTTCTTTTCAATTTTTAATATTGAGTGTGTGCCTTGGATGACACGCGGCTTTCATTACCTTTTGTGGCTGTGTCTAAATCATTGAAAACTGCACCTGACCACGGAGGAGAGAGTGAGCGCGACACAAACCGGCCACTGCTCCATCGGCTGTTTTCGGGCGGAAAGAACACGAATTTCGAGCCGCAAATTGTGTTCTGGGTTGTGTCATGTACAAATAAAAATGTTGGCAAGCATAGATACCCTGTCAGTGGCCCTTTAAGGGGAGCAACCTTTCTTTAATTGAAGGTTGCAACTATAACTCACGTTTTTATGGACCAATGAGAGCTTGAGCCTTTTTTGTGGCAATGTGAGAAAGGTTGATTTATTGGGGAAGTCTGGCGGTTTTTTTAGCTACCAAAACTAAAACGCATTTCCGGAATTCCCCGGGCTTTTACCGGCAGGTTAAATTCAAAACCAAGATTCAAATTTTCGACTCTTGAGCGAGGTCACAAAACGTGCAGTTAAGCGAGCAGTCTAAAAACATAGCAATCTGTTAGGCCTTTTTCCTTTTGCTTGCGTGAACTTTCCCAGCATTCATTTCACACCAGTCAACGTGCAACCCGTTTGTACAAGCTGTGCAGCCTCGTACAACATCTGTCATCATGTTGTCAGTGTGGCCAGTTGAGCCTCACAGACGAAACTTGGACACCTTTGCGTGTATTATTATTGCAACCTGTAATTTGAGCAACAAATTCAGATCTGTCTATTAATCTTTTGAAACAATTTTTAGTTGACTATCAAAACTTTGCTACCATAAACACGAGTGAAGGAAATCAGTTTTGTCCAATAAAATACTCCACTGGCCTGCAAGAACAATTACCTACTAGTGCCTAGTATATTCATATTAAAAATAGCGCAAAAGAGACGGGACAAAAAGACGAAGAACCACACAGACAAACGCTACCGGGGCATTGTAGAACTTGTGGTTGTTCCCCCAAGCTGGACGGTGCGAAGGTGGAGGGACGAAACAAAGGAAGGAGGGAACGAGAGTTGTTGGAGGCAGCGAAAATACGTGATTGTGACAAAGACGTTTGCATAAGCGTCGCATCGGTGTATATGCAGCAGAAAGAGTACCATTTCATTAACACTATCTAACTTGACAATATTAACGCGGCGTTTTTTCTATTCTTTTCTCGTTCGGATTGTGCGGCGGGGTGATATAGCTGTTTTGCTGACTTTTTGGAACAGGCGGTGGGCAGTATGATTGTGCGGATTTGGCGGTACGCCCTGTCTCTGTTGAACGAGACTAAGCACGTGCATGGCGATAGCAAAGTTGGAAGCTTTCAATAAAGTTTAGTTGCCAGTTAGCGTTTGTCCTGTTTGGTTCTTCGTCTTTTTGTCCCGTCTCTTTTGCGCTATTTTTAATATGAATGTCCACTACCAACTTGCCCAGCAGACCAAGCTTTTACAATTGCCTAGTATAATTTTAAAAAAACTTAATTCTGTATTGAGCTAGAGAAAACTGTTATTTGTAACTTGATTCTGGTCATTTTTTACTCAAATATATTTGCAAAACAAGCGCATCACACGGCCATAATCCCACGGTAAATTGCGGTGTCGGAGGTTGCTAAACTTTCCAGATGTACTTCAACTTGGTGAGACCCATTTGGCCCTTGCCTAAAAAAATATACAGGGTTTCTTCACCCCAAAGATAAACTATATGCATCGCCAAACGCTCATTCTCTCCCCCAATGTCCCAACAAAATGCCAAAGTTTTGAACTAACCATCTCATTCGAGAGTTAGAAACAATTTCTAAATACTCCACTGGAAAAATGGGGCCCAGTTTTGCTAACTGGCACCATTCAGCTACAGGTATGTGAGAGCTCCGTCGGCCGGCATTTTCATATTGAAAATTTCAGAAAATCACTCGGAACTTTCGAATAAAATAATGGTTTGTTCTGAAACTTTGGCATCGAGTTCAGACCGCATTTGGGTGCGGAGTAAGCGTTTGGCAGTGTATAATTTATTTTTGTACTACAAATATCCCCCCAAATTGTTGTGGGACAATCTGTACATTGAGGATCAAAACTTTCCGCTTTTGAGCAACATCTCCTTTTTCTGACGTTAGAGTGAAACATGTTAGAAGCTTGACTGACGAACAATACACGCTTCTGTGATTGAAGTGTGCTTGTAATTGCCAGACATGTACAGATTACTCAGAAAAAGTCATTAAGTTATACTGAGTATTGGCCTCAAAAGTAATTTACTAGAGTAGAAATTACTCAAATGGAAAGTAATTGCAAAAATGAGTAGTTACCGTGAAAAATAGCAAATTACCTTTAAAGTTACTTTTATGTGTTTTTTTTTATCGTAACAAGAAAGTCCATAGTTTTGATCCGTTAGCGAAATTGTGCTAGCCAAATGTGAATCGGCTTGTTTGTTTGTTTGTTGTTTTTTCACAGAAATGCTTCAATGTCTGGTTCTGCTTCTGCGTGCCTAATTGTTTTGTATTTATATTATTTATTTTTTTTTGGTCAATGATGTACTGCGAATGTATAATTTATACTTTAAGGTTTAGCACTTCCTGAGCTTGATTTTTTATTCAGTGTTTGCTCGTTTACAGTGTTGCATAAAGTACATTTAAAAAGTAGTTGCAGTAAAGCACAAAGTAGATTGGAGGTTATGTACTTCGAGTAAAGTAGTAAGTACGCTGGGTGCAATGTACTTCGAGTAACATACATAAATACATCTCAAGGTGAAGTACAATTTCTTTTAACACAATCTTTCACGGTGCCCTTTCATTCCCTATAGTGTTTCTATAACTGGTATGCATTGCTCCAGGGGTAATTGGAGATGCATCAGTTTTTTTTTACGGAAATGGCAGCAGATGTTGTATAAGGTCAAATTGCCACAGACTAGTTGTTTTACTCTCGCTGACGAGCTATTTGACGCAATCAACTTATAATAAAACATTTGTGTCAATCTTGTACCCGCCATTACTTCACTCGGAGAAATGACCAGATGGAGTCTCCAAAGAGCGCATTTTCACTCCACGATACGGCATTTTGGGTTTTCAAATTCGGGGAATGTACATGGAAGTCGGAAGTTTTACTTTAACTATCAAGAAAAATATTCTAGTAAAGCATAAGTACATGCTCAGAGAATGTACTTCAACTAAAGTACAAGTTTTCTAAACATTAGTACTTTAAGTACCATGTACTTAAAGTACTTCCCAGCCCTGCTTGTTTATTATTTCTTATATAAAAACGTCGGGGGTATTGCTAAGGTTTCTCGAACGATCTTTGAATATATTCTGAGTTTTGGAAGGAAAGGCGACGCAAAAAGGTAATCTTTGCGTTGCCCTTTAGCACGCCACTCTTGGAGTACAGCTCAAACTATGGGAGCACTAGACGAGTTTCAGAGCGGGTGCTGCATTTTGTCGCCTTCTTTGAGTGAGGATGCAGTGTGTGCACCTCCCGTAGTGGGCGAGAGTTCCTACGTTGGGGAGAAGCGGGGAGCAGCCCTTTCTTCAAATGGGTCGAGTCTCCTCGAGCTTCGGGACACAAAGAAATGCCAGTCTTTGGAGCTAATCCCACAGTGACTCGGCCTCTCTTGCGTCGCATCTGTTTGCTCCCCATGCCTCGTAGCAGTGTTGTCGCAGTGGGTGCTCGTGAAAGTTTTGGGGGTTTCGGACTCTCCAAACCACTCCCCCCCCCCCCCCTTTCCTACGCCACATGCTTCCCCCTCTTTGCAGGTATAAGTTGATCTTCCAACCTCTTATCTCTTTTTGTGCAGGAATGTTGGTTGATAGGCAAAACAACCAGTAGAAGTTACTGGAGAAAAGTAAACTATGAATTACCGAGATAAAAATGTAATTGAACGTTATTGAACTACTCAGAAAAGTAGTTGAAGTACAGCAACTTGAGTAGAGTAGTTGAACTACGTACAAGACTGGCAATCGCTCATCGGGACATTGCGCTTAAACAGTCGAAAGAACCCCCGGTGTTACTTTGAGCAACCTGGCTGTAGCCGAGGTCAATTTTAGGCGCATTTTGAGTACCTATGAGTCGCATTAGGGAGGTCAGCAGGGTTCTCTGCATCCCATAAATTTGGAGCTGTGCCTGACCCCCACGACGATGGCAGGATGCGTGCCACGCCGACGGCCAACGCCCACGGACTTCAAGTATGCTCCAGGAATGCCATCCTCGGCAAAAACGTTGGCATTTGAAATTCACTCTTGACCCGCTATTTCTGTAGTGTCATGGGCCGAAGCTTTTGCAGTACATTGTGGCCACCAGATCACAGCGGTCGCCGTGAGAGTGTCAGCTTCCAAGATTTTATTTTAATATTTTCCGACATTGTTTTTAAGTAAGTTTTAAATGAACGCAAAATTTAGCAGCTCAGAATGGGGAGTTTGAACAAAACTCAAAGCTTTTTGTACACACTTACAACACTTGTGAAACTGTCCTCTTAGGGCACAATTAATACTGAATCCCGTTTTCTCTCCTTCATTGGTTCGTTTGAGGCAAAAGCATTTTCTTTGCAGGTCATGCCATGGAGCACGACCCCTGTTGGGCCACAAAGAACCGGAGCACCTGGACGCACGTCATCCAAGTGGTAGCGCGGACGGGAAAGTGACTCGGGTGGTGTTGGTGCTGCGACGGCGTTTCGGGAACGTCGACTGCACCCAACTGCGCTCCTCTGCTCTTTCCTGCACCCCCAACAGCCGACACCCTACGGCATCCTCACCAAACTTGAGTGTCGGGCGTGTCTCGGCCCAAGACTGGAAGCCGGCTCCATAAATGAACCTCCATTCATGCAGCCAGCACAGTAAACGTGGAGTGTCTTGTGTGTGATAGCACCCCCGACCTGCGTAACACGTGGTGTTGCGTCCATCGCTGCAAAGGCTGCTAGACTTGCACCTATTATCCTTGGCTGGGAAGCCCTGGTGCATCTGTGCAGAATGGCAGCAAGTTCGTCGGGGAGGCAGTTGGAAACAATGCCTCCTTGTGGTTGAGGGTAGCGGAAAGCTAGACGATTTGTTTGGGAACGAAAAAAACTAGGTGCGGTCTTAAAAAGGCTGCCTGAACCCCTAGTTTCAGATATGCCTTACAGTTTGAACTAAAAGTGCGCGAACATAAAAGTTTTGACTGAATCGAATATAAATATTAAAATTCAACTCCAAATAAAATTGGAAAATTTGAGAATAGCATTATTTTGAATTTAATTGGAATTGAGGCTGGATTTGGATACTTTAAAGCAGGGGTTCTCAAACGCCTCACGGAACCCCAGGAAGCCTCAAAAACTGCCGCGGAACCCCTCCCTCCCCCCCTCCATATTTACCAACCGAGAGGCAACAGATGCGTAATTGTAGGCAGTTTTGCTTCTGTTGCTTCTTATATATCCCCACTATATCTATCGCAATGTCAGTACAAAGTGAGATGAAGGTGCTTTGCATGGTCCTGTCGCGCAGCCTGCGGCATGGGGGGGGGGTTGCAATTTGGGTGTTCGTGGAACCCATGAGACCAGCTTGTGGAACCCTTGTGTTCCCCGGAACCCAGTTTGAGAACCCCTGCTTTAAAGGACACATGCAAAAAAAAATACATTATTTTTTAAACATCCTAGTTGGGTAAAGGAAGTCATAAAACGAATTTACAACGAAAAATAAAAATTTTTAGAGCTGTATTAACGGTACTATATGAATTTGTAGTTGGCGCCCACGGGTGCTGCGGGAAAGTGGCCGCTATTTGTCACGGCGGACTTGCGCTCTTTTGGAAGCTTCCTATGGTCTCTAAAAGTTACTTATTCATCTTTGTTTCAAGTGCAACAAAAAACTAAGAATAATAAGTAACTTTTAGAGTCCAATGGAATCTCCTGAAAAAGCGCAAGCAGACGTAATAAGCCTGTGTGCCGCGGAGCAGACAAACTTGCGCGGCGGCGGCGTGGAGAAAGGCGTTGAAACGGCGGCGCACCACACTCGGCGTGCAGTGGCAGCGGCACCGCGTGATGGCACACAAGTCTACCACGTGACCGCAGTGGCTCCTGCGGATGCTAACTATAAATTCGTCTTGTGCCGTAAATATAGCTCTAAAATTTTTCTTCTTCGTTGTAAACTCTTTTTATAACATTCTTTTGCCATCTAGGCTGTTTAAAAAAAAAAGTTTTTTTCCTTTCCATATTTGCTTTAAGAAGAAAAGACCCAAACAAGATGAGTTGGGTAAAACAGTTTAGCATTGCACGCAAAGCAATGACTAGCTTTTTCATTTCAATATAGCTCGAGGTTTTCGTTTCTGGTACTGTCTTTTAAGGTGGGCTCAAACTGTAATGAAATCCAAAGGCTGACGAGCAGATATCGGAGACCATCGAGCGAACCAAGATACTCTTGCACGTCGGCCGATTTTCCTAACACACCACAGAAAACGGTGAAGCTTGATGCATGCACCGACATGTGAAACCTGACGTGGAAAATCGAAGAAGAATTCTGAAGACATTATTCGTAATTTTCGATTACTCGTAAAAGCGTGCTGCGAACTGAACTGGATAGCTAGCTTTACTCCCAAATATTCATAGTTGCGAATATTCACACATCTTTAGTTCAAACTACTTGGTAAGCCAGAGTAGGGCACTCGTTGCTTTTCTTCTGATGTGAGCAGCGTGTGGAATGCAGGAAAAGCTGTGCGAGTTACGACAATGTTTGTGCTTGTGGACGTGTCTTCTGCTACCTTCTCTTGTATTTCATTATGGGTAGTGTAAGGGTCCACATACTCTCAGTTTGGTGGGATGACACCTATGGATTAGAAAACAGCCCAGCTGGGGGCAGTGTAGGAGCCTTGCAGGCTGTTCTCTGGATGCGATTCTGTCTTCATAACCCTTTTGTAATTTATTTCTCTTCCACACGAATTAACACTTGCATTGTCCTCCGGCAGATGAGGTGCCGACACAGGAACACTGTAAACCTGTACCAGAGAATCTTGTGTCGGTAGTTTGTGTGGTGTTTCCTTGTACAGTAATGTAATAAAAGTGCAATCAGATTGATTCCTTGAATTGCATTTGGAAAGCATCCAGAGCTTCCAAAACCTGTCTGGAAGCAAAATGCACAGCTACACTCACCCGTACACTAGCGCATATAGTTATTTGCACATCGCGCATTGTGACCAAAGTGCCATTTTTTATGGACCAGTACATCTTTTCCAGTGTGGCCTCGATGTCTTCGGGCAATGTCGCTCCACCAAGCAAGGTAACCCCTCTTTGCTTCATCTTGCTGGTCGGTCGCTTTTTCGGCGGCCCGGCGAGCTGCCGCCGCCACAAGAACTTTGTCATCTGCTCGGCACTCAGTAAATGGGAGGCAAAACTTAGCTCAGCCGCTGGTTGCTCTGGAGCCCTCGCGGAGCGCGACACCTTGAGGCAGTGTCAGTATCGTTACACTTGTTTCTAAGTCTCGGATGTTCCTGATGAGGTTGTGCAGACATTTGGTATGGAAAGAGCGTCAACACTTGTGGTGGTAGGTGTCCAGTGCGGATGTCATAGACGTACACACTAGTACGGCAGTATGAAATGGCCTTAAGTTTACCGGGAGTGAGAGTGGACTGGAAATTCTTACGGGGAACACATCAAGTGGCCCATTGTACAATAAATGAATTGCAACAACAGTTGGTTCATGACAAGATGGAGGTGCCGAAGGACAGGGACAAAGGGAACAACAGCACGGAGCGCACTTGCAACTGAAAGTTTATTAGAAACCGCACTGACTTGAAGACCTTAATAAAACAAAGTCACTTCCAGCCATTCCACTCTCTAAGAATAACATTTCCTTATCTAACAGGACCTCGGATGGCTTATCGGCGCCCCTTGTTTTGAGGACGAACGTTTCGTGAACTTGCCTACCGTAAAATCCCGAGATAGCCCACTTAACATTGAGAGCAAATTGGGTGAAAATATAGAGTGGGCTAACTTTCAGTGTACAATCAAAAAAAGCACAAAAAAAAATTGCTATTTTTGGGTCTGGGTTATGGTGGCGAGGAGCAACGAAACAATAATGACTGTCCACGCTGACTAGCTGCATTTACGCCGAGGCCATCATTGATCCCCACACTACTATTACTAAAAGGGGGCTATATCTTTCAGTGTTTCAAAAAATATAGTAAATCGAGACAAAAATAGGGTGCGGGCTATCTTTCGGGGGTGGGGCATCTCAAAATTTTTCGGTAGTTGTTTTTTCAGGTCTTTCGCAGAAAAAAATGCATCATCTCAAGTGGGACTAATTGACTGACTGTCATCTTTTTTATTTGAGAAACGGGGCAAGTTGATAACATGTGTTTTGGTATGTCAAAAGCTTTTGGCACAGTGATTTATACATATGTTGTTGTCGAAACTTTGGTTCTGTGGCCAAGTACCCTGGTGGAAATCATATCTGTGTTTGACATATTTTCAGATAGTTTTCTTAGAATGGTGAAATAACTGCAATGTTTTGATCATTATATTTGTATTGTACAGGGAGGCATAGCATATCAAATTATGCTTTTTCTGCATAATATTCCAATTCCTAAGAGGTCTGTACATAAGGCACTCTTCTTGACAGGCTCCCTCTGGAACCCCACCTGTGCCTCTCCACAGGCTGGAACCACGTTGTGGGAGTGCCTTGTCTGGACTGTGCCTTCCAGCTTACCAATGACCGTGAAATGGCGTCCAGGGTTTTTGTTGTGTCTAGGAGGCCTGGTCATGGCCGCCTCGTCTGATGATGAGGGCTTGCATGCTTGGACTACCTCGCGTGGGTCATGGCGTAGTCCAAAGCTGGGACCCGCCGGTGAAGGAAACGACGTCTCTCTCAGTCGGGCTCAGAACAAGACTCCTTCGTTATCTGGTATCCCATGCACAGGGTGGGCGGCTCATATCACGAGCTCGCCGCCCACATACGCGATACAGTAAATTTTAATCACAACATTCTTCCCTCAGAAAATTAGACGAAATGATAATTTAAAAAAACATACGCAGACATCCTGTCTCCCTCCTGACTACTGGTATAAATCGAAAAGGCAAAAAAATTCAAAGATACATACATAATGAAGAGAAAACATTCTACATACATAATGAAGAGAAAAAAAAGTTCATCAAAGCACTGTCATAGTTCGTGGCCCATTGCCAAAATAGTTTGATGCGTCCTGAGCAAAAATTATGCCACGTAAATACATAACGAAACAAAAAACACACACATACACACGTCCCTGATGTTAGTCTTTTTAGGTTAGGGTTTGACTCGCACAAAAGCAAAACGTAATCTTTTAATAGTTCTGGCAACCGCTTGGTTCGGGTCGGGCGACGCTGAAGTACTGGAGTAGCAGAGTCTTGTCGAGAAATCCCTGGCTGAGGTGAAGATTCTCGGCTTGTCAGAGGCTGACCAAGCTGAAGAAAAGCCTCGGACGCCGCCTCCACGTCGGTCGATGCCGAACTGCGGTGTGGTAGCGAAACACCAGAAATCGCAGTCTCTGTGCAACTGGACGCGGGACTGAAGGGAGGCGTGACTATGGGAGTTGCGGCCTCGGAGATGTCCGGGGGAACTGGACACGGGACTGACTCTGGCCCACGAGCATCCTTTGTACTCTGTTTCGAATCATCTGGATGCTTGGGACCGGGAGGGTCTATACTCCGTTTCACCTTCCGTCCGAGCACAGCGGACGCTAGGAGCCATCCCAGCCAATGCGGCGTTGAGGGAGTGTCATGCGACCTTGAGCTCCCTGCGTCGCCCCGCCTTACCGGCAGGTCACGCGACTTTCTCCCGGCGCTGGATCGGCTGGGATGGCTCGTGGCATCCACTGCGCTCGGACTGAAGGTGGAACGGAGTATAGTACCATGGAGGTCGGTTTTCGGGGACCTGTTACTGCAGGCTCGGGTACAGGAGGTGGAAAGATTCCAGGAATGTTTATACTGGAACTGGGGTAGGAATCGCAGGAAACAGGCCCTTTGAGGATGCAACGTTGTACATTAATTTTTCTGCATTCCCAGTTGTTCCATCAACGTGCACGTTGCCGGACCAGCTTGCCGGTAAATCCTTTGTGGCGATGAGTACTTCATTTGAAGTTTTCCTTTGTGTCTTGGCTTAAAGACCTTCACTGTGTGTCCAGGGGTAAAAGATGGTTGTTTCACGGCACGCCGTGAGTCAGAATACTTTTTCATCTTCTCCAGGTAGCTCTTAACCAACGTAGGGAGCTGTTGTTGAACTGTGGTTCTATGATGACGAGATTCGGGAGTTGCTCGACCTGTGAGATGCAGGCGTGTGCGGTGATTTCGACCGTGCAAAAGGAACGCAGGAGTTTCTCCTGTAGCAGCATGGCGAGTGTTACGGTAGACGCCCAAATACTGAACGACGATGTACCAAAGCTAACTGTACGATTGACTTCAGAATGCGGTTAAATCTTTCTACCTGCCCATTCGCCTGAGGGTGGTAGAGGGACGACTTCACATGCCTTATGCCATGCGTTTTCAAGAACTCTGCAAACTCCCTTGAAGTAAACTGTGGACCATTGTTCGTGGTGATTTCTTCTGGAAGTCCCTCCTGGGCGAGGATATGGACCGCAGAAAATCAATCACTGAAGCAGTTGTTACGCTCTGAACCACAGCCACCTCCGGCCACTTGCTGTGGTAGTCAATCAAAGTTATAAAAAAACGTTCGTTAGGCGGAGCACGTTCGGAAGGGCCATTGATGTCCATTCCCAACTTCGTCCATGGACGAGAGGGAAACTCGACAGGCTGCAGGGGATGCCTTGTCAGGCTTGGCCGTCGCTTGACAAACTACAATTCTGAACGAATTGTTTGATGTATTGATTGATGTGACGCCACCGGTAGAGGTCCTTAATAAGGCTCGTGGTCCTCGTTATCCCTTGGTGAGTCTCATGGCCAATCTCGATGACGTGGTGGCGCAAGCTAGACGGAACGACAATCCTTTCTCTTTGGAACAAAAGTCCGTCGATCTCGGAGAGCTGATCACGAACAACGTAGAACTGCTTGAATTTGGAAGGCTACTGGTTTTCAGAGGACCATGTAAAGGAGATATAGGTCATGACCCTTGAGAGCACCGGATCTCTTGACGTAGCCTCTTGGAAATCTTTCTGGTTGAGCGAAGCACAAACAATCGAAACAGCCTCTTCCTTGAACATCGTGCCATCTTCAGTGTCGGACACAGGTAGACGAGGAGAGCGTCTGCAATGAGGTTGTCACTGCCTTTGCGATACTCAATGAAAAAGTTGTAGTTGAAAAGCCTCGCCGTCCATCGGCTGATACGGTGTGGACGGACTCCTGTCCCTTGGGTAGACATTAGGGCTACAAGAGCTTGGTGGTTGGTGCGGATGGTAAATTGACGACCCCAGAGATATAGAGACGCGTTCCAGGCAGCGTAGAGAACGGTCGACTTCTCCGGGATCCGAAAACCTCGGAGGAGAACGTGCTTCTCGGATAAACACCGCCCTGCTCTGTCGGCTCGCCGCTGCACGTCCGCCGTCGGCTCGCTCGAGTCTCGTAACACCCAGAGAGGCCGCTTCGGCGGTCTTCCAACAAGCCCCAAACTCTGTAGAAGGCACGGAAATCACCCCCGAGGAGTTCGAGGCTGGCGGATGGTTCCCCACACAAACCCGCCGCCAACAAGCCAAGGAGAAGCGTCTCGAAGCCCCCGCCACGAGGCCCGCGGCAACGCGGCCTCACAATGGCGCAGCGAAGGCCACGTCGCAGCGCATGAAGAGACCTCCACCCCCGCCCCTGCCAAAGGGTGACCATAAAATCGTCGTCCGCCCGCGCGGAGGTTTCAACACCGCAAGCTGGTCTGATATCCAGATTCTGGATGGAGCCCGCAGCAGCATCCCCGCTGACCTACCACCAGCCCGTGAGTTGCTCCGAAAATACCCGGAGCAAAACATATTCGTCATCTGCACGCCGAATTGTGTTGTGTTGTAATCGATTTCTTAAATATCGCGTGTAAACTTTTTTTCCCCCTAAAATCGGCGGGAATCGTTGGAAGCATCTGTGCACACTGGGCAAACAAAGATGGCGTCCGCGGACCGCGTGTGATCTCCACTGATCTTTATGACAATTGCTGGATCGCGCTTCCCCGCTTGTTCGCTGCAGCGCAAGTGAAGCCACCGGACTTCACTCGCTTGGGATACGATTTGCCGTTTTTGCTAGCCTTTGCTGCGGTTTTCCAGCGTGCTGTGGACACGTTTTCTACTCGTTCGTCGTCATTCGACGAAGAAGTTTTTTGAAGACTCTGTGTATTGTTGAGACTTGCCGTTGTGAACACGTGGAAAATTTTACGAAAGTGCAGTGTCGCAGGAAAAAGGCACAACGCGTCGAAAGGAAGGGCTGGCGGCGTGTTCAAAGCTTCCTTGGCACGCCGAAGTGCCGTGTCTCTGTGCCTTCGCACGCTTGGATACCGACCAAGAACCGACGCGAAGGCACAGAGACACGGCACTTCGGCGTGCCAAGGAAGCTTTGAACACGCCGCCAGCCCTTCCTTTCGACGCGTTGTGCCTTTTTCCTGCGACAATGCACTTTCGTAAAATTTTCCACGTGTTCACGACGGCAAGTCTCAACAATACACAGAGTCTTCAAAAAACTTCTTCGGCGAATGACGACGAACGAGTAGAAAACGTGTCCACAGCACGCTGGAAAACCGCAGCAAAGGCTAGCAAAAACGGCAAATCGTATCCCAAGCGAGTGAAGTCCGGTGGCTTCACTTGCGGGAGCGGCAAGCGCGATCCAGCAATGGACCTTTTCCATATACCGACGGCACCAGGCGGTGGCTGCGCGAACTAAAAAATCGAGGAAGTGACCTGCGCTACCAATCAATAATGGGAGCTATGTTACCAGTTGCTTCGCTCTCTGAGCAGCGTCGCGTGCCCAATGCAACGAGGTAGGCCTAGCGCAACGTTGGCCTAGCGCGACTTTAAAGAAGGAAATCCGTAGCGTCCACCCAAACGTCGTGTTTTTCTTTCCGTCCACTTTCTTTTTTTGTGTAACACAATTATATATATGCTGCAATTACGTGTTCTACTCGTCGATTTACAGCCTCATTCCGAATTTCCTCGATTTTTTCGTGCCGACTTCCACCGCTTGGCATCGGGCGCTCGCGCGTGCGCAGAACGCTTCTCGGAAAAGGTCCATTGTCATCGAGATCAGTGGTGATCTCTATGCGCACATGGCTCCAATCTTACCGATGGCACGCACAACATCTGTTGCATGGTTACAGTAGAGATTCAACAAGTCATGTTTTATTGCTGCGAGTGCTGAGTAGTGTGGTTATAATTACTTTATTTGGCCTGCCGCCTCGTTGGAGCGCGAAGGATGGATAACAAAGTTAAAGGCGCAAGGTAAGGAAACTTCTTTGTTTCTTTTCTTGATGCTTGCTGCATTGCAAATAGGCGATTTCTGATTAATAAATATCCTGAGACACTCCTAGCTATATGGTCAGTGCAGGGTAGGAGCCTGAATGAATGAAGTTCTACAAAACAGATTCTTTTGAGCTGTCCACTTGAAAGTCTTTGTTACCCAGTGTAATGAAATGTCAGTGAAAAAAAAAAGTGTTTTAGGCGCTTCTAAAAAAGAAACTATGGATTCCTCCTGAAAGCACTGACTTGCCACAGTTTACCTTAATATCCATAATTTGCTTTTGAGGTTATGTCTTAATTTACTTTTTGTATTAGACAGAGTGAACACATTAAGTGTCATGCTTTCAGAAGTTGTAATTGTGGTGTGAGCAGTTACTAGCTAATAATCTTGAGTGCATTGTTAATGAAGTAAAGGTTTCAGTTTTCAGTGAAAAATGGAGTAGGTGTCAATTTCAGTGGGAAAATGAAGTACAGGTGTCACTTTTAGTGGGAAAATGGTGGCTAACAGCTCTCGAATACATGGAGTTGAATGGTGCCAGTTACCGAAAATGGGCCCCGTTTTCGTAATATTTTTTTGAAAATCAGTTATAACTTTTAATTGAGATAAATTAGTTCTGAAACTTTGGCATTTGGTTTCAAACCGCTGACGCTACATTTGGGGGGAACGCTGTACTTGAAGGAGCCGTGTAACAATGTTATGTTGAATGTTTCTCACTCTACACAAGCTTACTGGCACCAGTGGGACCCGAAATACTCGCACGCAATGCCACTGACCAGGGAGCTTCTCTTTTGCCGCATAATTTAAAGAGTAAAAGCGAATACCTCTTTTCATTCTCTCCTTTGGTTGCGGGGATAGTGTTGTCGTCACACTCAACAACATCAATCCTCAGGAGTTTGCCATAAAGCTTTGTGATACCCACGGTGACAATATTCAAGTGTGGCTCTTACAGTGAACATGAGCACAGCGTGAGCATTCTATTTGAGCTTAAGACAATACCTCGACACGCACTCAAGTAGTGGCTGGTGCTCAGTTACTGCGACGACAGGAGTAGCCGAACCTTAGCAATCTGTGGAATTCATTGTGTGTGCTGTGCTTTGCCAACCAGAGCGTGTGGGTATGATAAACATTAGTGGCATGTAATCAGCTTCAGATCATGTGGTCACTGACTCTGTCTGCGAGTTTAGGAGGTAAACGCTGGTAGTTTTTTTTTTCTTCTGCAACTGCCATGCGTGGATAGAAAATCTATGTGTTTTATAGGTTGTGAATGTCAATGAATAATCAAAAGCTGTATTTACTGAAAGTACAAGGCTTGTTGTACTGCCCCCTTAATGACGCGTCGAGCATCATACAACTTTGACCTCATGTGAGCCAAGTGTTTACCCATTTGTTGTAGGTCTAGACTTTGCTACATTCTTTCACAATGCTTCTTAGATATGCAACTTAACTGGTACAAATGTTTGACATGCAGGAGGCAGAGCTGAGCAGGAATGAGATGGCGATCCTGTCATCAACTGCATCCAAGTTCCGCGAAACATTGGTCTCAACGTTCAATTTGTAATATTTAGGTATCCTGCTAGTCAAAATAAAGCTTTCATTTGACATATACTCTTCACTGTTCTGCATCCTGTGCATACAATGAATGTTCAGTTAAGCTAATTGCTTGTCCTTGCTTCAAGATTTGTAATGAATGGTAGCTAAACACAACTTGTTACACTTCTAATAGGGAAAATGCTAATTGGTATTTTTATAATTGGGAGTCCGAAAACAGATGGTTATGGTTCCAATCGGAATAGTACCAATTGGTTACGGTTCCAATTGAAAAAAAATGCCAATGGGTATTTCTCCAGTTGGGAGTCCGAAAACACAGATGGTTACAGTTCCAACTGGAATAGTACCAACTGGTAATGGTTCCAGTTGGTAAAATGCCAGTGGGTTTATTTCCAATTGGACAAATACCAATTGGTATTTTTCCAGTTGGTAGTCCGAAAACACAGATGGTTATGCCAACTGGTGCCAATTGGAAAAACCAACTGGACCCAATGGGTATTTTTAACTGGGTACCTTGGTCACCAGCTTACCCAAGAAGGCATTGCTCCTGACCCTGAAAAGGTAAAGGCAATCCAGGCCTTACAACCACCAAATGACAAGGCAGAGCTCCTGCGATTTCTCGGAATGGCAACATACCTTATGAAGTTTATTCCAAACTTCTCAACAAAGACGCAACCTCTGCGTGAGCTCCTGAAGTCCGACGTGGCATGGCACTGGACTCGCGAGATGTCCAATGCATTCAACGAGATCAAAGACAACCTGACCACTGCTCCAGTGTTGCATTACTTTAATGCTTCGCGACCAATTGTGATATCAACCGACGCCAGCTCGTATGGAATTGGCAGCATCCTTCTGCAGGACGGACATCCAGTGGCATACGCATCAGCAGCACTAACGCCGGCACAGCAGCGCTACGCGCAAATAGAAAAGGAACTGTTGGCCATAGTGTTTGCGTGTGAGCAGTTCTACTACTACATCTGTGGTCGAAGCGTCGTGGTGGAGACTGATCACAAGCCCCTCATCGGCTTGCACCAAAAGGAATTCTACAAAATCTCCCCCAGACTCCAACGCTTGCTCCTTCGTATCCAGCGTTTCACGGTGAAGCTAGTCCATGTGCCTGGAAAACACTTGACAGTTGCTGACACACTGTCTCGTGCACCTAATCCAGCGCAGACCATCAAGACAGTAGACGAGGAACATGGTGTCCTGGTCTGCACATTGGTTCGCGCAATCCACAGCAAAGCTGGCTGAAATCCAAGCTAGCACGGCAGCAGATGAGGTCTTGAAGCGTGTAACAACCTACATCGAACACGGTTGGCCAAATAAAATCTCAAAGGTCCACCCGTCAGTCAGACCCTTCTACTCAAGAAGAAGTGAGCTCTACATAACCGATGGCTTCGTCTGCTATGGCGAACGACTAGTAGTGCCAGAAGCATGCAAGAAGGATGTGCTCTCAAGACTTCACATGACCCATCGCGGCATTGTCGCATGCAAAAACCTGGCTTCCCAAAGCGTCTTCTGGCCTAGGATAAACCAGGACATCGAGGAGCTGATCAGCAGCTGTGAAGTTTGTCAATGCCACCAAAGAGCAAGTCAAAGAGAACCACTTCTTGACCGAGACTTGCCAATACGCCCATGGGAGAAAGTAGCCATGGATTTCTTCTACCACGGTGGCACCACTTATTTGCTTGTGGTAGCCCAGGCGAAAATCAGTCCACTTCCAGCTGGATTATGGAACTGGAAATGAGGCAGTCCAGCTGGATTCAAGCTGGACCCAGCTGGAATCCAGCTGGACCCAGCTGGAATCCAGCTAGACTGCCTCATTTCCAGTTCCATAATCCAGCTGGAAGTGGACCGATTTTCGCCTGGGAGATTATTACTCGAAGTTTGTGGAAGTCAAGAAAATGTCGACTACAACGGCATCTGCTCTTATATCAGTGCTCAAGGAGC